GTCCTCCTCCACGATGAGCAGCGGCTCAGAGGGCTGCAGCCCATTCTCCCGGCACGGCTCCTCCGGTGACGCCTCGGGCTCCCCCGGTGCGGGCTGGATGGGGGGCTCGGGGCTTGCCGGGGGCCGGGGGAGGCCGTTGAGGCGGGAGACGGAGCTTCGCACCAGCCCCTTGGGGATGAAGGAGAGGCTCTCGCGGCGGCGGACACTGAAGCCGGCGTCCCGGTGTTCGGCCTGACCGTAGTAGCTCTTGATCTTATCGAGGAGCAAGCGGTCCCGGCTGGAAAGCAGCGACTCCCGGCGGGTTCCGGTGAGGGGCTCGGGCTCGGGGACGATGCTGTGGGAGCCCCCGGGCTCCCCGCTCTCAAGCTGGGGACTGCCATCCAGGCTGAGGGCGCTGCCGCTGCGGCTGGCCGGCCGTCCCACCGGCCCCTCCAGCGCCAGGCTGCTGCGGCGGGAGAAGCTGCCGCCGCCGCCGAAGCGTTCGGCGATGACGCTGGCCTGGTCCAGCACCGAAGGCGGCAGGATGCTGTCGGCAGCTCCTTCTTCTTCCTCCTCCTCCTCCTCCTCGCTGCTCAGCCCCTGCAAATCCTCTGCAGCACGCTCCGGCTCCCCCTCCCCGCCAGGCAGCGCCGGTACCGGGGTCCCCGCCGAGGACGGGGCTTCGGGTGCCCCCAGCCCCTCAGGGTGCTCCCCGGAGCTGCCGGCCTGCGGAGGAGCGGGCGGGTGGGTGCTGGGTCCTTCGGGACCCCCGGGCGGGGGCTGCGGGGCTGCACTGACCTTCTCGCAGCTCCCCGGCCCCCAGCTGCTCGGCCGCTTGGGTCCCTCCAGTGCTGGTGGGTGCCCCTCAGCCTGGGAGGGAGAAAATATGGGGTGTCACGGGCTGTGGGGGGACCCCCCAGCTGCTCTGAGCAGGACCACTGCCGGAGGCGAGTCCTGGCCAAGCCACAGCTGAGGATCCCGCAGCGGCCCCGGGAGCAACAAGGGGTGCCCCGAGAGTGATGTAGGGTGCCCTGCGAGACACGCGGGGTACCCCAGGAGTGATGCAGGGTGCTCTGGGGGTGATGCCGGGCGCCCCAGAAGTGATGCGGGGTACCCTGGGAACAATATGGGGTGCCCCAGGAGTGACGTGGGATCCCTTGGGTAGCACAGTGCAGTGGGTGCCCTCCCTGGGGTTTGGGGGGCTGGGGTGGGTACCTGCTCCTCCTGGGGTTCCACCGGCAGGTCCCTGGCCCCCGGCAGCTCCTCCTGGTAGTCCTTGCCCAAAGCCTCCTCCATCTCTTCCTCTTCTTCCTCCTCCTCCTCTTCCTCCTCCACCACTCCCTCAGTAGCCGCCCAGGATCTGGGGTGCTGGGGGGGGTCCCCTGCCTCCAGGAGAGCCCCGTCGCTTCCAGCGTGCTGTGCAGGGGCGAGCGCTGGGCTCAGTGCCCCGTGCCCTCCCGGCAAGCGGCGTGCCAGGGCAGGGGGGCACCAGGCACCCTAACCCACCCTGCGCCCCGGCCTTACCTTGAGCCCTGCCAGCCAGGAAAGAGAAAAGCGGAGGTTAGGGAGAGGGCAGCACCCCGAAATACCCCTCTCCGGCCCCCCTCCGCCCTCCCAGCCGGTGCCAGAGGCCGTGCCAGCTCACCTTGCTCGCCCAGCTGCCGCAGGATCTGCTTGGCAGGCTCTGCAGGGAGAAGTTGGACATCCAAATCGGGTGACAACGGCATCATCCTCGTGTCCCCCAACCCGTCCCCAACCCTCCCAGCATCCCAAGCCCGGCACCCAGCCCCCCAGCCCAGTTGGGGTCCCCGCTCCCTGCCGGCATCCGCACCTGACTGCCTGCGCCCCGTGTGCCCGTGCAGCCGATCTGGCAGCGTCTCTGCACGGTCCCGGGACTGGAAGGGCTCTGCGGGGGGACAGGGACACCCATCAGCGCCAGCACCCGGTGCCCACCGTCCCCACAGGCATCAGTGCGACCCAGCCACGGTTTTTGCCTCAGGGAAGGGACGGCGGCGGTGGGGATGCTGGGGATGCGCAGCTCTCACCGGACTGCCGGCGGCCCTGCCGCGGTTCGGCGGCGATGTCGCCCAGGGGCTGGCAGGACCAGCTCTTCTTCAGGCGCTCGGGGCTGCAGCGGGGCAGGCGCGGGGGGTCTGCGGGCACAGGGGGTGACGCTGGGGGACGGGGGGGGACAGGCAAGGGCAGGGAGGGGACCGCAGGGGTGCCGGCAGCACTCACAGAACAAGTCCATCTCCAGGATGGCTTCCTTAGCCTGGGGTGGAGGAAGGATGGAAAAAGATGGGGAGGGAAGCCGGAGGGCAGCTGCCCCCTCCTCACTGGGCAGGGGGGGATGACCCCACTGCCAGCGTGGTGTCCGTCCCCCTCTGCCCTCACCTTCTGGGGGATGATGGCATGGTGGTTCTCCAGGATAAGCCGCTTGATGTGGTGGGTCCACACACGCTTCTCCTCTACGCTCTTGGCCTGGGGAGGACAGGGAGGGCAGTGGGGTTGGGCAAGGGGGTCCCCCAGGGTGCCCCCCACCCCGTGCCCCCCCTACCTGCAGGCTGTGCTGCTGCTTGCCATGCTTGTAGTGAGCCACGCTGAAGCAGAGTGAGTCCCGCGTGCTCTCGATCAGCATCAGCGAGGAGCACTGCGGAGAGAGGCCATCAGTCCCCCATCCCTGGTACCCCCCTAGATCCCTCCCCCCATCCCCAGCACCCACCGGGATGTGGCTCTTGTAGACGTAGTGGTCACCGCGGCGCTTGGTAATGAGGAGGGTCTTGTCGAAGAGGAAGACGGCGCGCTCATGGCGCACCCGCTGCACTCGGAAGGTGCCCTCCAGCACCAGCTCCCCGTAGCTGGTCAGGTCCGGCCCCTTCCAACCCAGCAGCAGTGACTGGATCTCCTGTGTGGGTCCCCGGGAACGGGCATGTCAGACCACCCGCCGCCACGGTGGTGCCCGCCCGGTGCCACCCACCGTGCCGCCAGCGCCCACCTGCTGGCGGATGGCGTGCTCGTGCTTGCGCTTCATGTCGTTGATGTACCAGGCGACGCAGGTCATGGTGTCAATGGCTTCCAGCACCACTTCGTAGTCATCCCCTGACTTGTGCTCAAAGTGCTTGGCGATCTCCTGCCGGCAAAGGACGTGGCGTCGGGGCAGCACCAACGGGGCTGCGGTACCTGGTGCCGGGGGTGCACCATGCCGAGGGACCGGGCTATGCCAGGTGCCTGTACTATGCTGGGCGTGCGCACTGTGCCAGGGAAATGGGCCGTGCTGGGTGCTCGTGCCATGCTGGCAAACCAGACTGTGCCAGGGAAGAGTGCCCATGCCATGCCAGGGGACCAGGCTGTGCCAGGGAGTTGTGCCATGCTGGGTGCCCGGACTGTGCCGTGGAAGCGTGCCACGCCAGGTGCCTGTGCCATGCTGTGTGCCAGGCTGTGCCAAGTGCCTGCACCATGCCATGAGCTCCCCCCGTGCCGAGTGCCTGGACTACACCGGGTGCCCATGCAATGCTAGGGGACCAGGATGTGCCAGAGAGATGTGCCGTGCTGGGTGCCTGTGCCGTGCCATCCCCCAGACTGTGCCAAGTGCCGTGCCATCCCCCAGACTGTGCCAAGTGCTTGTGCCATGCCATGAGCTCACACCATGCTGGGTGCCCAGGCTGTGCCAGGGAAATGTGCCACGCCAGGAGCCCAGACTGTGCCATGCTGGGTACCCACGCTGTGCCGGGTGCCCAGGCTGTGCCGGCTGCCTGCGCCCCATCATCTGCCTGAACTGTGCCAGTAACTCATCCCCTGCCATATCCCCATGCCATGCCAGGCTCCCAGACTGCGCTGGCTGCCAGTACCCTGCCGGGTGCCCACACCATGCTGTGCCACGTGCCCACACCGCGCCGGGCACCGGCTCACCTGGAGCAGCAGGTGGTACTTGAGGATCCTCTGGACGGGCTTGAGCAGGTAGGCGCCGAGGGGCAACGCGTGCCGCAGCCGCTCCTGGCACTCGCGGAGGAACCGAGCCTGCGGCTTGCTCCTCATGCACTCGGCCAGCGCCGCCACTGAGCTGCGGGCAGGGAGCGGGCTCAGCCCCCTGCCCGATCCTCTGCTCGCCCGCACCCCCCCCACTCACCTGGGGTAGTTGTTGCAGTACTGAGTGTAGATGGCAAACTCCTGGCTCTGCGGGCAGGGGGAGCGTGGTGAGAGCCTGGCACAACCCTGCGGCCCCCCCGGGGTCCCCCGCCATACCCGCGCTTACCCGGGTGACGAAGCAGACGGCCACGGCCACGGGGTCGCTGGCGCAGCTCTCCAGGTTTTGCAGCAGGGTGCTAGGGGGGACAGAGGGGACAGGGTGACGGCAGCCCCCCCACCAGCCACAGGATGGGGTGGCACCGGCTGTGCCCCCCCAGCGGCACTGGGAGCACCCACCTGCTGAGCTCGTAGATGTCCTCGATGTTGCCGAAGAGCGCGCTGACCTGCTCTGGCCGCAGCACCGGCTCCTCCGTGTCAATGATCTTGCCCAGGTAACCCTGCCAGGCACCCACGGTTGGCGGCGGTGGCACCGGCGCAACCAGCCGTCCCCACCGAAACCCTGTCCAAGGGTTGTCCCCCCCAGCCAGCGCTCACCTCCACGATGCTGCGCAGGTCGCGGGCATAAGTGCGCTCCGACTCCACGATCTCCAGCACCACCCGCCCCAGGTAGCTGGGCTCGGCCCCGGGGCCGCCGAAAGGTGCCAGGGGGTGCCCACCACGGGTTCCCGGCCACCCCCCGGGAGAAGCGTTGTTGTTGCTGTTGCGCAGCCCCTCAGCCCACGGCTCGGTCCCGCCGCCAGCCGGCTCCTCCATGGCGCGGCCGGGCTCCAGCACCGGGCTCAGGGCAGGGCCTTGCAGGCAGGCGGGCCCCGGCATGCCGGCATCCCCCGGCACCGGCGGGGCACAGGGCGGGTCTGGGGGTGGGGGGAGAGCAGCGTACTTAGGGGGTGTTTGGGGCCAAGGGGGGCTCACACCTCCTTCACGGTGGAGGGAGAGCCCCTGGGGTTGACCTGATGGCCGAACCCTCCAGGCCTGGGGGTGCCAGCATCCCCCAACCCCAAAAATCCCAGCTACGGATAGGGCCAGGCAGGATAGGACCCAGCCGGATCCTGGCACAGCCCTCACCCCCTGGGGCCCTGAGATTTGGGGATTCGCCTCCCCCTTACCCCAGAGCAGGGCGATGCACCCCAGGAGCCGGGGGCCGTGCTCCCGGAGGAGGAGGCGCTCCGGCGGGACCAGCGTCATCGCCGCGCCGAGCCCCCACACGCTGGCACCCCGCGCCGGGGCCGTGCGTCACCACCGCACCCACGGGACACCTTCCCGGTGAGCTCAGCGCTGGCTCACCCTTCCGGACCACCGGTGCCGCCGACCGCTCCCTTGCGGCACCGGGATCCTCCCGTGCCACCGAAACTGCTCGGTGCCACCGACCCGGTTGGGGCACCCGAAAACCGGCCAGCGGCGGCAAAGCGTGCCAGAGCGGCAAGGGCTCGTTCACCACTGTGCTTTTTGGCAGAGGGACGGTTTGCGGCAGGGCACCGAGCTCGCTCACCCCGGCGGGCGGCTGGCCCTGGGGACGGTGACCTTCAGCCAGGCCACGTGCCGGCGGCGGGGCTGCCCGAGCCCCCCGGCACTGGGGGTGCCGGCATCGAACCGGTCAGGCCGGTTCCCGCCAGCTCCTCCCCGCACCTGCCGTGCCGCATGGCCGCGATCCCGCCACCGCCCTCCCAATGGCTTTCCCGCGCAAGCCAGGATCCCCCCCCAAAACCCACCACCGTGCCCCCCTAAGTGGGGCCCAGCCCCTCATCCCCAGGCTGTACCGCAGCCCGGACCCCCAGGTGCCGGCACAGCTGGCTCTGCCGTGGGGCACCGCCTCGGCACCCTGGCTCTGTGTGATTTGGGGAGCAGCCCCCCCAACCCCCAAATCCCTCAGCTGTGCCCCGACCCTGCAGCCACCTCGGCCAGGGGGGACGCAGCCCCACAGGCAGCCTGTGCTGCCAGGGACACCGGGGCCAGCAGACCCCGAGCACCCACCCCCGGCAGGGTCTGACCCCCATCCCCACCCATGACCAGGTCCCTGCCAGGGGACAAGAGGGGACACCCGTGTGGCACTGGGGGGGGGCCAAACACGGCCACAGCTGCCCCATGCCCACCACGGGGGGACGGCACCCCGGTGCCCGTGGGGGCTTCCCCACGTGATGGCCGGCTGAGGATTTGCGGCCACCGCAGCTCGTCCCCAAAGGCCGTCCTCGGCCGCCCTAATCCGCTCAGCGCGCCAGGATTACGGCGCCGGCCCCACGTCACAGGGACCGCGGCCACTCGCCTCGGTCCCCTGGCCACCGCTGGCCCGCCCCGCCGGGCGGGGGGGGTTTATCCTCTTACCCCCCCAGCGCCGCCGCGGTGGGCACGCAGCTGGCCAGAGCCCGCGGGCTCCTGCCTGCCACCTCCTCTGGGTGGGGATTAGCCCTGACCTTCACCCCCGGCGCGACCGGCTGCTCCCCCCGAACCCCCCAAGCTGGGGGCTGCCGGAGCCCCCGGGTACCCCCAGCCCCACCATGGGGGACGGAAGAGCCCCCCAGGGTACCGAGCTGGATGCGGCCCCCAGGTGCTGCCGGCAGCACGGGCAAGGATGCCGGGGGGCTGCTGGCTGGCTCCGGCACGGCGGGTCCCCAAAACTCCCCAGCTGGGGGAAACTGAGGCAGGGGCCGAGGCTGTGCCAAGCTGCCGGTGCCGGCGCGAGGGAGGTGGTATTTTCTCCCCGCCGCCGAGGGTTCGCCGGCCCCATCGCACATTCCTGCGCCGGAGACGGGGCGTGAGGCACGGCCCACGGCGCTTTCCCAGGGCCCTGGCACGGCACACCAGGAGAGGAGAGGGCGGGAAGGCCAGGGGTGCCGGGTTGGGCAGCCGGCCGAGCGGGGCCGGAGGACGGCCAGCCCGGCGGAGCCATATAAGGGAAGGCGGTTCACCATTTCCAGGCGTTTTCCAGGATCCCAGCGGCCCTGGGAGCGGGGAAGGTCGCCGCCGGCTCCAGCCCAGCTGCCACGGCTCGGCGCGGCCATCGCTCCCGGCCCTGGCTGGCACCGCCGGCGCCCGGCAGGCACGAGCTGGGTGCTGGCACTCCTGCCCGCAGCATCGCGGTGCCGCAGGTGGTCTGGCACAACGGGGGTCCCCGCACCGCAGTAGGGTGACCCCGCGCCACGGCAGCCGCGACGCCGTGCTCGGGTGGGTCCGGGGCCCGCGCCAGTGGTGCCATGCTCCCGGGACACAGCGGTGACGACCCCGTGGGGCTGCCAAAGCCTCTTAGTGCCCGGCACCCGTGGCGTCCCGCATGGCCGGCAGCCACGTAATCCTGCCAGAGGGGCGCAGGGCACCCCCACCCCACAGGTGGCTGGGGGTCCCGGTGCGATACCCCCGTCCCAGCCCCCCGGCACACACCCGGGGGTCACCCCACATGCCACAGCCTCTGTCCTGCACTCCCGGCTGGGCCTCAGGGTCTCCCCAGCCCCACGGCTGCCTGCCCCGGGGGCCCCCCCGCACCCCCAGGACCCGTGGTCCCCTGCCCTCCCCTGGGACCCACGGCCCTGCCCCACGGCTCACCGGGACCCTCCACTCCCGTGCTCCCTCCAGCACCCACGGCTCCCTCCCCACTGGGACCTACGGCCCTGGGCACCCCGCAGACCCACAGCTCCCGCCCCACGGGGATCCACAGCTCCTGCCCCACCGAGACACAGGGTGCCGGCCCCACCGGCACCCACGGCACCGAGCCCCCCGGGACCCACGGCTCCC